ACTGAACTTTCCCTAAATGTGGACAGGTCCCAGCGACGCTTTGAATCAAGCTGAAAGACTAGGAAGTTGGACAGTTTGAAAACATAAATATTTCACCTTATACTGTACCAATTATGTAAGCACAATTAAAGAAATAAAATTAAACATTCAGCACTTCAAAAAATACTCTGTCAGCCTTACCCTAGAAACCTTCGACTACAAACAGTATGTCCTGTAGGACAAGTAGCCTTATAGGTCTAAAGGACATACATCTTGGTGTCGGCTAAACAAATACTGTCATGTGACCGATACCTCCAGTTTGATCAGTTTCAGTTTGAAACGGACATACTTTCAATTCATCAAAGTGTTTAGAAGACCTAAAACAACACCAGGCCAATATGGAAAGAAATGGAAATTACCTCTGAGGAGCGACAACAGGAAAATCTTGGTAATTAGTCTCCGCATGTTGGCAAAATGCTGCTCAAAAACTCCGGGTTGGAATAGAAAGATGAAATCAAAATGTTCACATTAAAAAATAGTTAAAAGAAGAGGAAAAACTAAACTACATAAGAGGCCTGTTTTCAACATAAACCTAAACAAAACAGTTCGTTGTTTCCCCGAAGAGCAGCGACTATGCAGTCATCTCTGGCCACACCCCGGAACAGGTGAACGCATCCTTACCGGTGACGTCACCAGGTAAAAACTAATTCCCTAAAATGAGGCAGCCAATACATACAGTAGATGCAGTAGTGAACAAATAGGTAACCAGCTCTTCTGTGAGACTTATGGGAGACATGCTCGAAGAATTCATGACAGAATGTTTGTCTTTTGCTGTTTCAGATTACTCCAGGGGAAAATACAGAGTGCCCATTCTCTTCTGAGGGTCCACACTGAGGTCTTCATCAGACTTTGCAGGCCTGACTTCACACTGCTGCTGTGAACCAAAAGATCTTTGGTGTTCAGCCAGAGACTCAGCCTGCTCTTTCTCCCTTTAAAGAATTAAAAGAACAACAATATTAACTTTTACCTTCAGAGGGGTAGAGATCAGGTTGGATTTAACAGGGACAATTCATTCCTCTTTCTTTCTTTCTTTCCCCCAAAAGCAGCTTCTTCCATGTTTTGCTGGCTGATGTCTTAGCTTTGCTGTGAGAATCAGTAGACTCCAGTGTACTGCTCCATCGCTTGGCCAACAATCATATTAGCTACCTAAAACTTTCCTCTGACCTGGTGAAGAATCTTGAAGTTGTTCCTGTCTCCGAGATCCAGACTTCTTCACTTTCTTTGAAATAGCCTATTCTTCCTCTTTCTCTGTACAATCCAGAGGACTTTGTGGACTCTGTGCACCAGCCTCAGCGTGACCTGATTGGGTGGTGGAAAGCTGAGGCTGGAGCTTTGAAGTTCCTCATATTTGCTATCCCCTTAAGATTTAGAAATACAGATTAAACATCTCAGGTATGAAATACATTTTTATGCATAATTGAGAAATTAAACTGAAATTTGGAATTATAGCTATTTTCTAAAAACACAATTTATATATTTATCACAGTAAGTTTAATAATATTACACTGAATATGTTCAGACAAAGGGTGTACATTTTTGATTCTGTTGTTTTTTACTATTAGACACAATAGACAGTCTTGTTTTCCACCTTTATTAAGATGTAACTCTGAAACAGAACCACTAGATGTCAGACTAAACTTGTTTTTCATCTGAGCTGGCTCTTCATGTGATTTCTGTTTAAAGTGAAGTGGTTCTTAAGTTCTTTGCTGTTTTAAACACATCCTTCATAAACATCCAAGTCTACTCTATAATCCATATAAATGGGACTACTTTAGTGTGTTGTGTGTTGTCCTAATTACGTTAATCCAGTTCTTATTCTATTCTATTTTTATTCTACTTTATTCTATTTTAGTTCCTAAATGTTATGGCACCCAATATTAGGTGAGAAAGAAACGGTATTTTGATTTTCTGTATGTCCTGCACATAATTGACAATAAAATCCTTGAACCTTAAGCACTTTTCAAGTCCTTCAAATTCTCAAAGCTTGTTTTCCCTCTAAGCACACCCATGCTGCACCTGCAGCCCTTCAGAGTAGTTTTTCTTGGAAACTTCTGCCAAGATCAACTCTGGCTTTTCCTACGTGTTCTCTCACGTATTCTGTTCTTCTGCTGAGGCCTTAAAGCACAAACATTACTTCACCCCATGTTCACTCAAAGATGACTGCACTGTTAAGCATTTGATTTTATACAGCACAAATATAAACTTGCAATATTAAAGAGAGTACTCAAAATCTAATATCAATAGATTGTATAAGATACACTCTGACATGAACCATTCTGCATAATAAGAACTTTTATTTATGGTACTTTATATTTGGTTGCTGATACTTATGTACTTTCACTAAAGTACAATTGTGAATGTGTGACTTTTTACTTGTAACACTCTGGTATTGCTACATCTGAGTTCTATTATATTTATAAGCCCCCAAACTGTTAAATCTAAGCATTTCTCTATAACATTAAATACTGTATTTTGTCTAATTAAGTAACATTTATTAGGTGCTAAGCTTAAACACTTTAAAACTAATTTGCTTCAAGCGTGTTTTGATCAGATCTGACTGAGAGTGGCCATCAGCGTTTGATTCAAATTTCACTACTGTAAATGATGCAGGTAAACCCTGTCCATGTCAAGCCAATACTGTATGAAGAACACAAAGCACACCCAAACCTTTTACTCAGTGGTGTGTGTGTGTGTGTGGTGATGTCATATCTTCCTGCCTCTGCAAAGACCTGGGGAGGAGAAGCTCGCTCAACAACATTCCTGGCATAGTCTGGAGCTGTGAGTGATCTTAACTGATCCCTCCCATTACAAAAATACAGTATATGAGCTCAGATGCACACATGACGTCTCTCCCACTCACAGATAGGACAACACATAGAAGTGGAAGAAGTGTTCAAATCTTTGACTTAGATTTAAAAAAACAACTACAAATTCTTGATTAAAAGTAAATTAATTTGACTGCTGTACATACTGTTACCACAGTTCATTATAAGTTTAGTCTGCAAAATCTCCACCTGCAAATTAACTAGAGACTATAAATGTAACACAATAAATAATAAAACCACAATAAATGTTGTGGGATTAAAATAATATATACCTCTGAAATATGACGAAGTATAAAATAGCATGAAATATAATTATACAAGTTAAGTGCAACTGTTATCAGCCACTGATCCACTACTACATGTACATCATCATTTCTTAAACTTTGGTAGTTAATGCTGACTATAAACAAAGACAAATAAGCTCAAATAAAACCTGGGGTTCATATTTCTGCTAGATTTATTTGTGAAGATGTGAAGATAAACACTGCTGGTATAAATGTCTATGTTATGTTTGCCATCCTGTCTCTTGGTATATTATTAAATAGACACTTTAGCTATTTAATGGACTAAAGTGTTGTAAGAATTTTGTAACATGGATGATGAAACAGAGCAAATTTCTGTGGTTGAGCTGGAGGGACTGATATCTGAGTTTTGACACAGCTGTGTACTAAAGACTAAAGACAGGCAGTCTGTGCTTACAACAATGAACAAAGACATGAGTCATACTCAATTACGCACTGTCTCCTTTGCAGAAAAGTAAAGAGTCACCCCCCACCACCACCACCACACACACACAATCACAGTTGTCAGTACCAGAGGCAGAAAACACAGTAGCAAAAAACTAAAAACTAACATCAGTCTTTTCTCCACACAAGCCTGCCCAACATGAAGGCAGGAATAATCAAATACTGGTTTGTTAGAACAAAATACATAGTATGACTGATAATGATGTTCAGAGATCAGTATGTTAATGTGTGTTTTGTGTAAGTGTGTGGCTGTTAGATAACACACAAAGCTGTTGACTCAGCAGTGATAAGAAAAGGCCCTTCTTATGTATACACTCACACTGAAGTGCTTAGACAAACACAATCATTTACAAATTACAACGATTATATCACACCTCACACACAATAGGTTGAGTCTACATATAAACGATCTCTTCATACTGTAGTACAAACATCTTTTAAACCTTAAACACTTGCAATAAATACAGTTTTATCAGGTTTTAGTCTCTTAGGAGAAAACAGTTGCTTTGTGCAAACTCTACCATGTTTTAAAACAAGATGAACAGCTCCACTGCCATGTACAGACAAAAGAATGTTACATGTTCATGAATACAAACTGAATCACTGCTGCAACAAATGTGGGTCATATTGGGTCACTGGCCATTTGGCAGAACAAGATTTAGTGTCTTGTGCACGTTTAGCATCTTGCTTGGGAATATTAGTTTTCATGATTTTCAAAATGACTCCCACTAAAATATGAATTCAATTTTCAAATTCTATCCACTGCCAGACTTCTTTTCTAACTGAAAAATGACACTACATGATATTGAACCTTGTATTACTGAGCTCATGTGCATTCACTAAAAACAGCGGGTGTGGCAGAGCAAGCTGTAACCACATTGACATATTATCACCATATAGATGTATTATGGCAAAAGCGTATTTACACATCAGCACAACAGACCACAGAATAACATTAGCATTCATTTGGAGTTGTGTTTCTGTCCACTTGATGAATTCAAGTCAGACCATTGCTCTACTTTGAATTCTGTTTGAGTGATATAGTTGATTCATGAGCAGCCGTGCTTCAGGGGAAGAGTGGGTCGACCTCTGATAGCAGGGTTGGCAGTTCAATTCCTGGTCTTCCCAGTCCACATGACAAAGTGTCCTTGAGCATGACACTGAACTCCAAGTTGTACCCAGTAGCCAGGCCAGCGCCTTGCATGGCAGCTTCACAGTGGGTGAATCTGTAAAGCGCTTTGTCCAGGTAAGGTAGAAAAGCCCTATATAAGTACAGTCCATCTCCTTTTACCATTATTAGTTGCTAAATGCTCCACTAGGTTCACCAGCAAGTCCCAAACTGTGTGTGTCTGCTCTTTGGTGCTGAACAGGCTGCACACTGGATTTATTAGAGCTTTTTCCCCTGGAATCAGCTGTATGTTGTAGCAGATCAATGACCAGAGCTATGAGACTGACCAAAACAAAAACAATGAGCTCATTAGAACTAAGAACTGCACTACAAGCAGCATCTTTCATATTATACAAAGTCATTTGAGCCATTGTTTCCATGAACATATTGCTTGATACGTTAAGAGTTACGATCCTTTTCCATGGGGTGTTCACATTATTTTGCCCACCCCAATGTAGGAACACATCATATCATCATCATTTGGTAATGTTGGTTACTCTGTCCAGCTGTAGTTAACTTTTCCTTTGTAAACTCCTTCGGAACCAGGTACTTTAGTCCCTGATTGTGTTGTTGAATGACACACTGTGTGTACTGTCATACAACTGAAGCTACAGTATGACCTTTACAATAATGGTGTTGTCATATACGTTTTGTTCCACCACCGTGCCTTTTTACATACACATATCTCACCAAATGAAAATGAATGCCCTCATTGTGCTGGAGGCGTAAAGTCTTTTCTCAAGGGACGGCAGGAGACTAACAGTGTCCTGTTAGGAGGGACAGTCCAGGTCATACACTCAGCCCATGTTGGTCCCATGTTAGTCCAGCTGACGTATGTAGTATATGAGGCAGCCGGTGACCAAGATTGAGTGGTGATGACTTCTTCACTCAGTGACATCACGGGCAGAAAGCCTCAGCTATGCTCCCAGCAATAACAGTGCCTGTTGTCCATTTCTTCATTCATTCATCCGTACTGATTCAGCTTTCGTTGCGTTTCTCACAATTCACTTGTGTATGGCATATTTTTTGAGAATCCACACTGAAAGTCAACTCTATCATTCCTTAATCAGCTGACATGCAGTTATTATAATGTTTTATAGGCTTTCACTCAAACGATGAGTGAATCTCTGGTGAGAAGGGTGTTCTGGTGAGGGGAAAAAAGAGCAAATGGTTAAAACAACAGCAGAGAGTTTACACAAAAATATTAAAGTATATCTTATTCAGTAGAGTGAGACAGTGGACATTAGCCAAACAGGGTTATTATGGTGAAGTAAATTCTGGGACAAACTGCAGTTCAACTTTTTTTTTAATTACCTGAAGATCTGTTTTATGCTTGAGGCCAGAAAGTTGATTGTGATTAATGAATTTATTTTGTACAGGAAGTCTTTGATGTTGAATACCATTTTGCCCCAGGGTTGTCAGTTTGGTTTAGTGAGTAATTGGATACAGAACAAAGTATTCTACCTAGTTTTCACTGTGGTAGCATCTGAACCTGACCTGTCAAAGGTACAACAACAACACTTACTGTAGACCTACAAAGCTTTTTTATGTCATAAGTCAGAGTTTCTCAACCTTATCAACCTCATCTTCTCCATAACCCAATTCACAACTGTGTAAGTGAATAGATCTGGCCTAAAAATGGGATCAGTCACTTTTTCCAAGGCACTAAACACAACATATTACACATCAGCTAAAAGTGATTGTAAATGAAGCCAAATTCATTTCATTTGCATAGTCTTGAGTGGAACTATTTCTCAGTCACTGTTTTTATTTGATGTCTACTGTACATATATTTAAAGGTAAGTTGATTGATGAGTTAAGACTCTCCTCGCTCAATTCACAGATGTCCACAGGATCAAGTATAGACCTTTTTGACCAAACAGTTCTGGGCACTTTTGGAACCAAAATAATTTTACACAGTCTGTTTGTTTGCTAATCTCTGACTTACAAAAGGATTAACATCCTGACCCGACCCCAGAAACACACACAAACTTTCCCAGCTCTCATGAGTTTGTGTGCATGTGTGTGAATTAAAGTACAGACAGCATCAGTTTGACTGAGCTATGGCGGACCTACAGTAAATTGCCAGATAGTTTGATAATCATTTAGAGCATTGTGATGGCATGTATATGGTTATTATACTGTGAAAATCTCATGATGTTCCAACCTTAATTTTAATGTTACAAAATGTTTCAAATTTTTGCCCCAAGTTTGATACTCAAGTCAGTGTGTTCTTGTTTTGTGAATGAAGTGCTGTGGGACACAACGTGAAGCATTCCACTGGGTCTGTGTTTCACCAGTTAGTGACAATTCAGCCCTGTAAGCTTTGTCCTGATGACTTCCTAAATCATCAGAATGGTTGACCCCTGGCACTGGGGACTTTTTGCCACCCAGAACAGGATCAAAAGTTAATTCTCTGATTGCTTTGGTCAAAATGCAGGTTTAGTTCATAAGTTTCTCAAAGAGTTCTTGGGTCTCTGATAAGTTTCTTCAGTGAAATTGTCCTAGTAGACGGCCTTAAAAGCAGGGAAATACAAAACTGAGTGTTAAAAATTTGCAGTTGTAGCCTAGTGTTATATTTTTCAAACATTTTCATCAATTACACACCAATAACTAGTCATTAATGACCACAAAATATGATATATACTCTCTACTCGATGCTGTTGATCTGCAAATTAGCATAGCCAGCCTAACATCCTACCAAGAATTTATAGGCCATTTTAAATGCAACTAACCACTTTCCGCGACTTGTCTCTGGGTTCTTCTCTGTGACTGTGCAGCGAATGGGCAGGAGGTTGAGGGGAGCTAGTGTTTGCTGGCAGTGGCCGTGGAGACGTCCTGTTAGTTCTGCTTCGCTCTGTGTCTGAGTAAAGAGGAAGTGAATCTGCCTCAGGCCTGTTACTAGGTGAACGGCTGCAGAGCCGACTAGACTCCCCACTGCTCTTTTTTAAGCTGCCCTTTGAGGGTGTGTCAGAATCTTCCGCACCCCGAGTCCCGCTTCGTCCCTGGCTGACCCCTCGCAACTTGGCCTTACGCTCCAGTAGGCTGCTCAGGAACGTGCTATCATAGTCCTTCCCTTGAGACGAAGTTGATGGTGGATTGACACGAGGAGGAGGTGGGACAGGGTGCTTCCCATCCCAGGTCCCTCTTCGTTTTTTGGGTGAAGGAAGTGGGCTTATGTCATGTCTGTTTTTCTTATTCCGTGTGGGGTAATCCTCACAGTTGTCTACAAGCTCAGTTTCATTGTGATAATGCTGAGGTGGACCATTGCGGTAGGAAGGATATCGACTGAACTCCAGAAGCTCCATCTCATAGTCTCCCCATTCTTCTTTCCTCTTCTCAGCCCCTCTGCCTCCTTTCTGCTTATAAGTTGCAGCAAACTCCTCCAGCTCGTCCAGTGAGCCAGTTCGTCCTGCAGTACGGTACATCTTTCTCTGCAAATGTTCTGAACGAGGGTTCCACCTGAAAAACAACACAAGACCAAGAGAGAACATAGTATAGTATATGCTTGTTTGTGTGAGTGAGGAGTCTGTGCATTCAGAAGTGTCTATACCTGTTATGGCTGTCCTCTTCACCATGGTTGTGTTGCTGTTGCTTATGGCCTGGTCTGCGTGACTGTGAGGAGGATGGTGGGTCATCGCTGTATCGTCGTGGAGGAAGAGGCTCATCCAGGCATCGCCGGGACTCTAAGTCGGGGTTGTCATGATAACGCTGGGGCGAAGAGGGACTATCATAGTAACGCTGCGGCTCTGGGCTGCGGTTGTCACGGTAGCGCTGGGGTTCAGGCTGATGATTGTGGTCGGGGATGGTGGGCAGTGCTTTCTTCTGGACATTTCGGTATGTTTGGCGGAAAGCAGTTTCCCCCTCGTGGAGAGAACTCAGCTCGGACGCACTACAGGCTGGATAGGTCAATATGCAATATTTAATCAATGAAGAATGACTCATGAAAAATGAAGAGAGAAATAAACCACTGAAGAGAGAAAATCTGAACAGTGCAGACAAAGAAAGTCAGAGTCAAGTTCTGCAAGAAATTACAGTGTTGCAGTGATAATTGTTAAAACACCTCCTTTCAGTCATGCAGCCATATTAATGTATCATGTAAACTACAGGAAAATCAATACATAGAAAGCTCAAGTGCAGAGAGGCATGCCAAGACAAGCTCAAGAGAATAAAAAGCCAGAATGAATACAAACTGTATAGACTGCACAACATGCAGCGTCAATTCATTGCAGTAACATGCTTTAGTAGAGTTTGACAGCATGTTGAGAGAAACAAGCCACAAGATGGCTTTATAAAGCTTACACTGGTGGCCGGTGGACCTGGCAGGGTTGAAGTGTGCCAGTTGTTTCTCTACATACTGTAGCACCCTGAGAGAGTCCTGATCCTGAGGTGAAGGCACACGGTACGGAACCCCCACAGCATGCATCGGCACTGGAGATACACACTTGTCCCATCAGTGTGGGGAACTTGTGTTTGTCTTTGTGTGTTCATTGTGGTTTGAAGACCATACTGATGTTTTAGCAAGTTTTCTACTGAATTATTTGATATTATGACAATTCTTTCTGGCCAAAACAGAAAAATAACATGGTCACATAAGAACACACACATCAGTTGACAGTGTTCACATGAAAGAAACAATTACATCCCTCATGCAGCTTTTCTGAATGCCATATGTGAATGTTTGATATCAAGGCAGTATTTCAAAATAAAGTTTTCTGACACATTATTTCAAGTCTAGGAAGTGTTATTTCAAGCTCAGAATTAACTTTAGGGGTGTTTTCAAAAGCTAAAAGAAAAAAAAAACACTGATCCAGACTTTTTATAATTCTAAAAACTGATCTACTTTGATTTTAAGCAAGCGCTCACCTGCTGTGAGTAAGCTTCCATTTGAGGTGGGGACTGATGACATCTTGTCCACCAGAGATGGGGGAGTGATGGGGACCATGGTCGGGACACCAGAAACAAAGTATGGAGGGTAGGCAGGTGTCTGAGGGGTGGAGGTACCCGTCTTTATACCCTTACCTGCCTCATACACTAAGGAAAAAAAAATCAACATAAAATCCCAGTTACTTTCATCAAAGACAAATTTCTTTCAAACAATGTCAGTATTCAGAATTTTTGCACTGCTGTGTGTGTGTTTACACTCACAGTGTCTGGGGCAGCAGCATGTGTCGGGGCAGCACCAACAGCTGACGTAGCAGCAGCAGGAGTGAGGACAACACTGACACCAACAAACCCCAACCAGCAGTAGAAATAATACACTGCCTAGCGCCACTGCGGCCACAAACGCCCACTCTGGAAGTACACACATCACACAATTCTACATATAGTATTAATATAAACCAGCATGTTAGCACATTTAGTCAGTTCACTGTGCAGTCATGCTTTAAAGAGCACTGTCCTCATAGAACATTTTCACTCATGTTAGTTTAAAAAATATAAAAGTATAGGTTTATTCCACACATTCTTTCCTGGTGCCTACATTACCCACAATGTAACTGTATCGCTGACAGTTCTGCTGGAGTGTGTGCTATGTCAGTGTTAGCTGATCAGGAGCGGGTTACCGAGGTCTGTAAGATCACTTCCTTCTAACTCCACACCCACAGATCTTTTTCATTTTCAAATCATAGGCTTTATACAACCTTCTTTCTTCCTGGACAAGTTTTTTTCATTTGCTTTTTGTTGATTAAATGCTGAATGTGCAGTGTGAACCTTTTGACTTGCAGTGTAATTTATCTTATCTATAAAATTTAAGAAATCTTGCATGTTGCATTATATTTTTGCTCAGTATATTTCCTGTAGAAACACAGTGTTGGGATGGAATGTAACACAGTGATGAACCATTCTAAGCTGTAAAGCTATGGGACATCAGCGATGACAACGAGAAAGGATTGTTAAACTGTCTTGTAACTGAGAGTTTTATTTAAATTTTGTTTTTTTGTTGTTTTTTTGTGTATGTGTGCATGTGTGTGGTGGTGGTGGGGGGTAACAAACCAGAAAAAAGTGCAGAGGTACAAGATAGTTGAAGTGAAAGGTACAGCAAGTACGGTACAACAGATACACTACATGTATCTGTCTATAGGGACAAAGCAAAGGGAAGGGAAGGAGAAGGCAGATAAGGAAATCTTTAACAATGTATGACCAATGGCACCATTACATCTCACACTAACACACACACACATACACACAAACACCAAAAGCAAGAAGACACACTCAGGAAACCTGTTTTTGCTACAGGAAGGAAAAGGACAATTTATTCTGCACAGAAAGATAGTTAAGATTTGGCTGTTAAAACAAATTAGCTAATGTGATGTCTTTTGCAAACATTATGACCCCTACACACACACACACACACACACACACACACACACACACACACACAGTTCTCTTCATTCCTCATGGGGACTTCACAATACACATTCCGGAGCACAGTGGGAATCACTTTGTACAACACTAACACTAATGCAACACTAACACCAGAGACAAGCTCACAGTGAACATTCTGGCAGAGTGAATCATAGCTTGCTAAGTCAATTTGAAATTTCCACATAATCCATTCGTTTGTTTATCACTTATCCACAAAGTCTAATACTGTATGTATTCCTGGAATTCGATGTGACATAAACAAACCTCCTTCTCCCTCTACATGATAAGGTTTTACTGGGTAGTGTCCAAATGATGTGGGATGACATGTTCACCACAACTATAAATAACTATAATGACCATAATAGCTGTTTTGCAGCACAGTCATCTTAGTGGGAGCAACCGACAGTTCATTTTCTTAAGAGTGTAGATCAGACCATCAGGTTAAAAACAGCTCTGTCAAAGCCTCATGACAGCTGAATCACAAACATCTGTTGTACTGATGTGAGAAGAGTGTAGGTTAAACACTATTCCAGCTGTTAGCATAAGAACCATTAAGCATGGTGGAGAAAAGTTATTTTGTTTGCTTAGTTTGAATCCCTTTATCAAAATCTTCTTCCAAACATTTGCTTCTATATTTCTTATATTGTGTACCAAAATCTATCTCAGGAAATACCCCACACCATCACCATACAAATGGTTCCTACACGGATGGTTAGGGCAGTACAGTAAGGATAGTATGAATAGAAGGAACCAGGTGAGGGGGTAAATACATTATGCCCCTACCTGGCATAATCCTCAAATCAAAGTCTGGCAGCAGATCTTCAGTCACGCCTGAGAAACCTAGAGAGAGGCAGAGCAGAGGTGATAGAGGAGAGGAGAGGGAATGGGGTTGATATAAGCTGGAATGGTAGATTTCAAGAATGTTATTGCTGCAGCAGCATACGAAAAAGAGAGAGCAGCAGCATGCACCAGAGGACATACTGGTCTTGTTCCAGAAAATCTCCATATCAGAGCAACTGATAAGCAGATTGATAATTTGATTTCTGATTCTTTTTTAAAACTGTAAGGTTATCTATATGATAAGAAAACAGTCTGGAACATGAATCATCATAAACATGACAAAAAGGCAGGAGCTGTGAGTAATGTTACATGCAGAGCTGCAAAAATATACATGGGAACATTCCTCAGATCCAGAAAGCAAACTGCGGAGAAACATTTTGCTCCTGAAATGTTTCGTCTCTGTTGTCTGACCAGTGAGGAGGGACTCTCAGTGGTATGAGGGGTGCGTTTTGATAACCATTACCTTTCTATTTGGTATCAGGTTCCAGGTCGGCATAATAACCAAATAACCCTTTATCTGTTGTTATTTTTATTACCAAAGACCAATGTTGAAAGTAACATTAGCAGGCTTCTCATTTATAGCCAGCACTGAATGTTGCTTTTCTTGGTTAACTACTGGTAATAATAATAATACATTTTATTTGTAACACTTTAAGATGCTCAATGACACTTTACACATACAGTATGAAAAAAACTAATATAAATCATGCTAAAATCATAGATCACACCAAAAGTACATTAAGTAAATCAATCAATCAAACAAACAAACAAATAAATGAATAAATGAATGTAAACAGGTTGGTACAGAGACTGGCGAGGGCCTGGTTATGGAGAACTTTGTTTGAATTGGATGCACTGTGGGACAGGGAGAAGCGGAGATTCTTAAGTGATGTGGTCATGGAATCGGGAGTGAACGGGCATGAGTACTGGATGTACTATTTATGTATGTGTTTGTATGTGTTTCTTGAGAACTTTGTACGATGAACCATAAAGAATGCTACTGCAGTACTCAAGTCTGGATGTGATGAAAGCAGGGATGAGAGCTTTGGCAGAATAAAAGGAGAAGGATGGCGGAGGCGAACTATGTTTTTGAGATGGAAACAAGCAGTTTTGTTGATGAGACTTGACTGGTGTTCAAACAACAGGTTGCTGTAAACGTTTAGTAGCTGCCACTAAAAACTATAGTATTTCTGGATTCTTGCCTGATGATCACAGGTCCAAACTAAATCTTTGAGCTCTAGTTTATTTACAACTTCAGTTACTTGCAAAGGATGAAAGTTAAACTTGATGAGATTCATTAAAAGGATTTGATATTATAATCAGATTTGTTTCAGGAAAGGAAAAGATAAACATCAACATCAGAGAAAAACCCAAGCCCTTAAAAAACACCCTAGTATCTTGTTAGTGCTGTCTTTCTCCTTTTGTTTTGTCTCTGTGTTCAGGGATTCCACACAAGGCCAGCAGATGTTGAATGAAACATTAAAAGTCACAAAGTGTCACAAAGATGGTGCAAATGTGCAGGAGTGTGTTTTGTTTTGGTGCATGCAGTATGTACATGTGAACATGTAAGCTGAGGTTTTGAGGGGGGTGTGAACAGAAACTAGTGTTTTGCTGTTGGCAATGTGATTATTATGGGGAGAAATATAGGAGTGCTGAGCATGAGAAAGAAGGAGTGGAGAAACAGAGAGCAGGCTGGTCTGTCCTGGCCCAAATCTGGCTGAGAGCGCAATACCTTACTTTAGTATCTTTCTGGAAAGATAACCATGCTCTTTGATGGATATGAAAACAGAAACATCCCTACTAAGTTTAAAGTGCCTGAGTCTTCCTCCTGCTCAAACAGTTGATGGCAGCTCACTTGTAAGTTCCAATCTGCTCACGCATTTACCTGCATGCTGTGCGTTTCATTTACTTTCAGATATGTTGGGTTTTCTTTGCTTTCACCTATATGGTTATCCAGGTGGATGGTGTTTGTATATCCCACCTGTGGAGATGCAAGGGAATGGGAAATTAAGCCTACATGCATGTTTGACGTACTTCAGAAGCAATGGTACTAGGGCTGTTACTCCAGGTATAAGCAGTATACTGTAGCTAATAGATAGGTAGAACAAGGGACGGGCTCAAAAGCTAGTTCCATTTTGGATTCAGTTCCAAGGTGATAGTCTGCTCAGATTCCTAAAGCAGTCAAACAAAATGCCTTATGAAAATGTTCATTCACATTCTCTATTTAGTTACTTTGTTTTCTTCTCTCTGACACCACAGGCCTTGGCGAAGAAACCAAAAAGACTGACAAACACATGACAAAAACAGCACATGGGCTTTCCAAAGCCACCAAAACAACTGCTAAATATTTGCTTGCTCATGACAAGGAGAGAATGACAAATCTTGTTTAAATATTTACAGTATTTACCACAGTGTAGCAGTTCTCATGCAGGAAACATTAAGTGCCTCATGCATGCACTTAATTGATATTCACTGAATGATATAGTGGAATTAACGTTATTTGGACTTTTCTTTTTATGATATGTGTTTATGTTTTTTTTTTTTAAATGCTATTGGCTAATTACACTGTAATCCGATTTTTTTAAAACTCTCAAATACTAATATCAGTATCAGTCTTAAAGATCCATTTTTGGGCTGGGCTATAGACTGGACATAAAGATATGGCTTATATATGTTTTTGGAATATTGGTCCACTAAAGTTAACACCTTAGATGAAAAAGTTAAGTCTTGTGCTGGGAGAAATGTATAATCAAAGGTTGTATCATTAGTGGGTAGCCTCTGAGCTATGAAAATGGCAATGAAGAATTCTTTCTTCTTTTATTAGCCACTGAATTGTCAAAGATCCACATCAGTCACATGTGTCTCATGGTGTCAGCCCCCATCTTTTGTCTCTCCCTCTTCCCTGTCATTAAATCTTCCCTGTCTTCTGTCCTGTTAAGCCATTTTCTAAAATAGACAAAAGACCCCCCTAAGCCATTGGGCCATGGCCCCAACTGCTGTTATGGAAACACAACCAGTGCCTCACATACCATATACTGTATTAGCTACACTAAAACTGGGAAATACAACATTTTGTCACAGTGGTAGATTTGGAGTCTCTCCTGCCAGCTTGCAAACCACAAAAGGCATCTCATACAACAAAATCATGTCATCATCATATGTCTGTAGCATGATCATATCCAATCATTAGGCCTATCTGCAACACTGCGTTATCACACCAAGCCTGTACCCAACCCTTAACTAGAAATCAAAAAACTGTAAAAGGTTATTGTCCTGTGTGTATTTGTCAGTGTGCGTCTTCTTGTGCATACACATACAAGTCTCTGAGCACTAGCCAAACAAAAGTTCAGCCACAGTGTGAATTAGGGCACCAAGAGCCACATAGCTCCTCAGATGCTGCCATGGTAACATTTGTTATAGCGAAACACAGATAAGTACACTTTCACTGTAACACATTACAGATACCTCTACAACTTGGGACACAAAATGTACACACACACACAAATAGGTGGCATATTAGTACTAATAACAAACACTCAAACAAATGACAATTGTCCAGCATTAACTAGGATTTTACATAGTAACACACTATGAGTGCTGTTGCTATGGTTACAGTTTAGGCACATCTGCAAGGGCCAATGCTCATTATAATTCAGCTCATTAATTAATTTGTATTGCGTTGATGATGATAAACAGGTCAGCTTATAGAAGTCTTGTTATGTAACAGTAGCTTGTAGAAAACTTCAATTTACAGTAAATGTGTGTTTTTGTGTCTCCAATTAACAGCATGCACATAAAGAATTGGTCAGACTTGCCTTCAGTACTGGACCCAGTGTGGTGGTAGTGTCTATGAAAGGGATACTGCAGTGTGTGGTCTACTAGACTAACATTGTACAAAACAAGGTGATGGGACACCACTAGAATGAATGCCTCGATAACAGTTTCAATTAGTCTATCGTGTAAATTTTTAGATCAAAGGTCGACAATAATGGGTCTGCAAGAGCAGACATTTGGAAATGCACTGAAATAAAGTCTTTCAAGCTTTAACTGATGCCAGTGATAAAAGGAGGAGATATTCACAGTAACTGGTACAGGTGTGACTCAGCACTTGGGCTTACGTTTGGGAAAACTGTGACATCTTACCTAGGACAAGCAGCTCCACAGGGGCTTCGGTCTGTCCCTCTAGATCATCAGATATAATAACCTTACAGATGTAAACTCCACTATCTCCCCACCGGACCTCTCCAATTCGCAGATCTGCCTCTGCATGAAAATAAAGGAAGAGGTTAAAACTGAGAAACAAAACCCTGTAACACCTCAATGTCAAGCTGCTGGGAATGAAAGACACTCAAATCCTAAAAGACAAAAGGGGAAATGAAAGTGGTAAAGATATAAAAGTGTTTTTTTTTTTATTATTTGACATGCATCTTCAAAACCATGCACTGTAAATGGTTCCATTTTGGAGTCTTTTATATTCATAATGTTTTCATTTTGGCAGACTGTGGCAACTCAAGTACTGCATACATATAATATGTTTTTGCTAAACATTTCATTCCAAAGCCATGCGGATTAATATGCTGTTATAACATCCTGTACTCTTCTAATTAGGCTTTCTGCAAGATTTTGGAACCTAGCTATAGAGATTTGCTCCCATTCAGCTACCAGATCATTAGTGAAGTCGGCCATTAATGTTGGGCTGTAAGGGCTGACGTGTAGTTGGAGTTGACAAAGGTGCTGGTTGGGTTTGAGGTGAGGGATCTGTGTACGCCATGCAGGTTCCTCTACACCAAACACAGAGCACCACACTAAATAATGAAAACCAGTCTCAGACCTACAGGCACTGTACAATGGTGTCCACATACATTTTGCTACAAGGTGTAATTCTAATAGTACATAAAGTTGGTCATTTTTTCAGGTTTTTCTAATTATGCGACCAAGATTCCAACGTGACTGAAAAGCCATAAAAACAATTCACAGTTTGGCCAAAGAATCCAGCACACAAAACAATACTGGGCTGCTGACTCCACTGCAACGAGGTCATATATGTAAAAACAGCAGACAGGACATGGGTTGTATAATTCACATCCTTTTCCTGCTACCAAGGAAGGGGGAGGGGAGATACTGACCACTGTGACCAGTCTCTCCTTCGATTCTACTCATTCAGCATACAGTACCATGTTCTCTTCTAATACTTGCTTATTTTCCATTTAAAGCTACCCTGTACTAAAAACAAACACGTGTCCTTTTGGTTTTTGGTGACTCATGCTATCTTTGTAGTGTATTACTCCAAAGACATGCAACTCAGATGAACTTTCAATTTTTAATTACCCATAAGTGCAAGTAAATGTACTGGTTTGTCTGTATTAGCCATGTGATTAACAAACACCCCCTACCCAGTACATGGTGGGACAGACTCCAGCCTTGCTGTGAACAGGATAACATGGGTATGGATGACTGGGTGTCTCTAAAGGCAACACTGCCAAAGCTTCCATTTTTTGTCCATTTACAAGATCACAACACTAGCATTGCAAAAGAGTGAAAGGAAAAGCCACTGAGAGCAATGAGTGTGTGGATGGTGGGACGTGGAGAGAGATCAGGAGAAAAACTAAAAGCGGGACATTGAAGTACATCAGAGGGAAGGAGTGAGAGGTCAGGATGAATGAAAAGACAGCGTGAAAGCCATTTCTTTTGTCTGTGTTCCTGGCTGGTGAAGAGAAGGTTGATTCTTCAGCCAGAGTTAGAGCTCCATAAATCTGAGGTCTGCAAACAAGGCCACCTCTCTATCTTCAACAAGCGCACACACACATGCAACCACAAAAACACCACACACATTTGTCATTTTCTCCCCTACCTATTTAGTACATTTCTCAAATGGAAAATTCTGGGGTTAAAGAGAACCCTCCTCTACATGTGAGCAGAATTTCTCTGACTTGAGCATTTCATCAGGGGTCTCTGGGAAGAATGGGTTATTGCTTTAATTTGTGGCTTTCAAGTAGAAAAAACATCAATTTGGATAAATGCATTACAAACGGGGTCACGGGAGCCAATCCCAGTCAGTTGCAGGCAAGAGGCGGGGTACACCCTGGACAGGTCACCAGTCCATTGCAGGGCTAACAAACAAACAAACAAACAAACACTCACTCCTACGGGCAATCTAGAGACACCAACCAACCTATGCTGCAGGTCTCTGGACTGTGGAAGGAAGCCGGAGCGAACCCACGCAAAACATTCAAACTCAGCACAGAAAGGCCCCGGGTCGGCCGGGACTCAAACCCAGAACTTTCTCGCTATGAGGCAACAGCACTAACCACCGCACCACCGTGCTGCCCTCACCCATAACATCTCTACTCTATTTAGTTTCAGTAATTTGCCAGCACTTGCCAAATGCAAGCAAGTGTATTAAAATTCCCTCTAAAGCTGGTGACCTAAAATTCAGCCTAAACCAATAAAAACATGTGCTGGCTTGGGCACATAGCCACTGTGTGATCCCAAAAGACTTCAGATCATTTTCAGCAAGGACATCAGAGAAACTGAACCAGAAGTGCCAGTGCTACAGAAGTCTTACTGTTGATGATGGAGATGTCTCTGTTCTTGTAGTACTCTGACAGTGTGATAGAGGAACCAGAGATGGAGGCCACAGTTCGAACCGTGCGGCTGCTGTCAGAGCAGTCGAGGTAGCTCGATGTCCTCGATGTCATCGGAGCCTTGTACCCTCCACTGGCTCCTCCGGTTCCAACCGTCAGGCCACCTCCTCCTGGGCCTCCAGTCAAGGTGTCAGTGAGACTGAACGAATCCCGTGTGCGGTCACGACAGTATGACTTGTAGATCCACTGCACCACAGGAGTCTGGGTGGACACGCTTGTGTACTGACATGGCAGAACCACGGACTGGAACAGCACAGCATACCTCTTCTCATCTCTCACAAACACATGAACCCCTGAGCAACATGAAGGGAGGACACCTGTGGGATAATAATCAGAAAATGAAGAAGGATTAGTAAAGTGTGAAAGAATGAAGAGCTAAAACAGGTAAGGATAAGTCTAACTGATTATTAAATTCATTGTGCTTGTGCAGCTCAGTTAGAAAATGGGGCAGTACCAAAAGATCTTAATCAGTTCATATTCAGTGAACATCCACAAATAAGCTGAGAAATCACAGAAACAAAGACACTCCTAACTGCAAAACCTGCCATTTTGTTTCTTAATCAGTTCATATTCAGTGATTAATTGTATTGGATGGAGGCAATTGTTTTTTGATTGATCCAGTGGTTTTCCAATGTGTGTGAGAGTTGAAAGGGAGGCTTGGAGGGTGCATGCTGGCATTCTAAAAGCAACAGGAAGTTAGTTACAGTAGCTTGTCCTGCTTATCAATACAATCAACAGCAGCAGCAACTGTGACACACAGTTCATGGAAGCACTTTAAAAACCTTTAGCATAGCACAATGTCTTCTCTGGTGTCACACCTCAGTCAAATCTGAGCAGACAAGTTGCAGTCTTGGATTCAGTGCAACATACTCTTTCCAAGGATATCACATCTGTCACAGATAAACATGCACAGATAAGCTGAGAAATCACAGAAACAAAGACCCTCCTAACTGCAAAACCTGCCATTTTGTTACTGTTGATTTTGTCAACAGTAACAAAATGTGGTGGTACCCACAGTGGCAGAAACCTCTGGCACAACACAGATCTGGCAGCCTGGGAATGTGTAAGGAGGGGGATTTAAGGCCTACTACAGCACAGTGTCACACACAGTGACTCGGATGTTGAGTCAAGGTCTAAGGAGACACATGCTCCTGTCTGGTCACTTTAAAAATAGCTCCCTTCACTTCAACACAGAAAGCAGTGCTTTTATGAATTTGAGTCTCCAAAAGAGATTAAAGTAGTAAAGTAAAAATATGTCAGAGAATAAACATTACCTCGAAACACTTTCCTTTTAGCTACAATGAAATGAGTCACTCTTCAGTTTCATAAGACAATCATGAAAAACCTAAGTCTGTGAAAAGACTGTTTGAGTTGCTTCTGCTCAGTGAAACCTGACTGAGTTGACCTGACATTGTTTTGGAGCTTCTGAAGCCGCAGGACTCTGGGTTACATGAGCTCAAGCTTGGTGGTTCAACGGCAACACACATTAGAGAGATAACTAAGAAAAAAAAAACATGCCTACACACAAAGACACACACACCCAGAAACCTCTGTGTACGCTGCTGTATGTGTGTTTATTTCTCAGGTTAATCCATGCGAGGTGTGGCTGAACTGAACCAGTGAACAGAGAAGAGGTGAGGAGTTGGGGTGAGAGCTGGGGGCTGTTTCCCTTTGTCCCAACCAAACCAGTTTTATTTTCTTACTGTTCTGCTGTTTGGTGTCAGTGAAGTAATAGATGTCATTAAAAATGCCAACAAACTACATCAAGCACAATGTTTTCTTTAGTGAGAGTTAGGGGTGTAACCCCAGATCCCACTTCAGTTTGATACACGATACAGGGTTTATGGTTCGATACACTCATGATAACACAGTGACAATAAAAACTAGTGTCACAGTTTTTATTTCTTCTTAGGTGTGTAAATTCACAAAAAACATTTTCATTTAGTTTCCTATACAAACATTTCCCTTAATTTGTAGATTAAAGTGTAATTATATTTGAGTGTAGCTATCCCCAGTGAACATCAGGGTCAACTAAAGGTCCGGCAAGAAAATGCATTTAGCCTACTGGCCCATCTTGTTAACATAAATAAATTACATGGAAGTCTTGACTTGATATTGTGATGCATTGCAACATCCCTACTAACAGAATTTCTCCTAGTTTACAGATTTTCACAGTGACTTGCAAACTGACACAGGTTCTATTATTAAAACAAACCTAATACTTCATTAGTTACTAACTGCTAATGAAATAATTAGTCAAACAGTTTGACAGAATGCATCAACAACAATTTTAAAACTTGATTAATCGTTTAAGTATTCTGTTTTGTAAATATGCCAAACATGTTCGGCTTTACAGTAAAAATCTTGAGATTTAGCTGAACTGGTGTGGACTTTGGTAAAACAGACCACTGATTCAGAGCAAGAGGAATCAAACTGACTAAAACACAAATTCCTCAAGGAGAATATTACTCCGACTTCTAATATTGAAGGAAAAAGAGCCAGGAGGTTGGTCTTCCTGCGATCACAAGCTGTGGGGTGTGCCAGGCTTTATTAGAAGCCACCTCCAAAGAAGGAAATGAAAACAGGAGGAGGACAGTTACTGTTGTTGTACTAGAATATCAGAAAACTGCACAGGTTTTGTACATACAGTACAGGCAGACTACTGATCCTTCACCCACACTGGGGTATATATAATGCTTTCTAATTTGATTTATTTGTTATTTGTGTACTTGTTTTCTACTTAGCTGTATCCTGTTTCACTGCTCCAGCTTTCTGCAGATTCACCAAGTTAAACTTAGGACTTTTTATGACTGTTTTATAGATCATAAATTGGAATTCAATACCTGTTTCACAGTCATACTACCCAATGTATAAAAGGTATCAAAAAGAGTGAGGATGATAAGACCTACAACTATTGGGGTGGTTGTGGTTTAGGAGGTAGAGCGGGTTGTCTCCTAACCGGAGGGCTGGCACTTCAATTCCCGGCCTTCCAATCCACGTGTCAGTGTCCTTGAGCAAGATGCTGAACCCCAAGTTGCTCCCAGTGATATCCCCAGTGTGTGCATGTGTGAGTGCGTTTGTTTGAGAATGTGTGAATGGCAAATAGTGTAAAGTGCTTTGAATGTGCTTCAATGCCTAGAAAAGTAATATATAAGTATAAGAACATTTACCAAGTGCAAATATTATATTTATATTATTACCAGTATGTCAGAACATCATCAATTAATTTGTCATTATATTCTACCATAGTGGTAATAATATAAATGTAAAATATAATATGCTGAAACATACCCTGGACCTATAAAGAGCACACAGTGGATGAATGGATTAACTAATTAAACTATAATAAATATAATTATTATTTTGGAGATATGGAATAATAGCACTGGTGCACTACAATCTAAGGACTTTTTGAGGAAACCGTTAAATAAATATTTTGACTTTTATTAGATCTTAGTTCCAATCTTACTTTAGTAGTAACATGCACGTAAAGCGTGTTTATTTCTTAATTAAATGTGTTTATGGAGGTACTTGTGAGGTATTTTGTCTCTACAAACAAAACGAAGTAGTAACTGCTTTGAGGGACCTGGTTAAATATTTTTCTGAAGTTAGACCTAATCCACAACCAAAGCTTCAGGTCGGATTATTCACACATGACCAAACAGTCGATTGAAGCAGCACACTGGACAAGGGAGCTACAAGAGGTTTACAGCTTCTATATTAAAGGTTGTAAAAACTCAGCTTTATGAGCGGGAAAAGAGGTCGGAGTCTTTATAGGAAAAACCACTGACACCTGTAATAAACCATAACATGTGGTATTAAAAGTCGGAATGTAACCTAGCCTAAATGTAATCTAGGTCATTTCTTCAAGACACAAACGACTCCAGGTTCAACAACCTGTTACACCACTAACATAAAGCGGATTCCATCTTTTTCACTCTTCGTCCTCTCTTACCTGCCATGCAAACGATAAAAATCCACCACTTCGGGGTCAAAAACATTTCCAAAGTCCTGCATGTGAATTTCATTACAGTTTTCGGGTGAACGGAGTCTTGTTTTCTCCTTCGTCTCATCCCTGGACGGTGTTTCGGGCTCCCGCACTCAGTTAACAGGCACATAACGGGACCAGCGTGAAGCTCATCTAAACGAACTCTGAACTTCCGATAATAGCTTTCAAAATAAAACCTTTGTTCACAGGACTAATGAAAAGATGGGCGTTAAAATGAAAGGTAGAAAGTAATGGATACTATTTCACCTTTACTGTCTAAGAAACATTTCAGAATAATTCACTGCAGGTTACTTTGTAGCCTCACCCGCGTTAACATGGGTTGAAGTGCAATATAATTGAGCGGTACATCCGGTACTACTAGTGGAACTTTATGCTGCGAGTGGGACAAACAGGGACGCTCTTAGCAGACAATGGACGATGGTGGTGATGGAGGAAGAAGGAGGAGGGTGAAGCCACGGTGAGGACAAAAAAATCCAGATGTGAAAGCCAGCACTACATTTCCTCCTCCTGCTATTACCCCCCTAAATACA